TTTTTTTTTTTTTTTTTTGGTACTGGGGATCGAACTTGGGTCCTTGCACTTGTGGGGCGGGTGACAGAACCACTGAGCTAGATCCCTGGCCCTCATCCCAATTTTATGCTGCTATACACGGGACAAAAATGCACACACATACAGTGCTCTTCATGGTGGAAGAAAGTGCCAGAAAAGGGTCAGGGAGTGGAGGTCTCCTACCTGTGAGCTACTGAAACACGGTCAGCACTGATGAGTGACTGAGCCTTTCAGGGCGTGGATGCAAATTGACTCTTCTTGCCCTGTGTGACCCTGTGCCATTTTTGCTGGTCTACAGTTGCCCAGTTTGCAGGGAGTACAGCAGTAGAGAGGCAAAGGGGGGGAGGTTCAAGACCTTCTTTTAGATTTTTTTTAGTGCACTCTATGCAGCTGTCAGTATAATTTTTCCAAAAACAAAAACCATAGATACATCCAAAAAAATTAAGCCAACCCACTAACAGTGTTGGATTTGCTATCCCAAATAGCCCAGAGGCTGTTTCTATGCATATGTGAGTTCTGATGCATTTAATTTCTTAAGACAAGGATGGATGAGGCTGGAGTAGAATCTGTAGGCACATGCTTTCCTCCTCTAACCAGTGTAAATCACCAAGGGGATGACACTATTTCCTCTTCAGTAGAAACTCTAGACAACACTACTGACTTCTACTTAGCATATCTTGGATGCCCATTTATACTTTTTTTTTTTTTGGCACCTGGGATCAAACTCAGGACCTTGTGGTTACGCAGCAGGCACCGGAACCACCGAGCTAAATCCTGGCTCCTAGTTATATTTTTCACTTGTCCTTCCAACGGGGCTCACTGAACTGAGAGGCTAGCACTGTGGCCTTGGCCAAGTCACCTCTGCAACCTTCACTCTTGCTTCTGTAGATCAGGCCAAGGGGGACCGTCAAGGTCTTTGCTGCTCCGAGTCTCTCAGAACTTCATTGATGTGGTCTTCAGTGTGAGGTGCACTGAGGTGTTCAAAATCATTCCTTCGACCCAGAAAATTGTTGTAAAAAAGGAAGGCAACTTTGTAGTGAGATTTGTGCAGCTCTCTGATTTAGCGGCTCAAAGACTGCAGTGGCCAGGAGTTGATGGCAGGATTTAAACCCCTACCAAGTTTGCAGGCTCTGGCCAGAGTGCTGAAGTCAGCCAAGATTCACAACAGCCATCAGACCTTGCAGGCGGCACAGTTTAAACAAAGCCAGCGCCTACACCCTACTGGCCAGCAATTGTACCCCCAGGACAGATGCAGGCAAGAGACTCCCCAGAAAGTGCCAGGCTTAGACTTAGAGCGTGAGGCATGTAAACAGCCAGTGGAATTTCAAAGTACATTGCATTCGATAGTTCCCAGACCTGCTGGAGCTATATTTAGTGTAGACAAGTTTGGGAATAGCTCAGAGGGAGTGCAGTGCCATTCCAATGAATATTAATAGCATGAGGTCTTGGAGCAAGGAAAAGATTTCTTCAGTTCAGTATCTAGAATGTATCTGTGAAGCAAAGACTTCTTCGGGCTGAAAATCCTTGGGGAGTAGGGGTGTGAGGAACTTCCTGAAATCAGGAGCCAACAGTTCCAGTTGGGAAAAGAACTTTCTTTACAGTTTAGATCCAATCGTCTGAGCTTCCCAGATGCCTAATTAAGACTTTTTTTTCCCAGAACCTCTCCCCTCAACAATGCATTTCAGGCAGATTATATCAGTCTTTTTCTTTGCTCTGTGTAATGTATTAATGATTTTCAAAACTGAAACACTTGCACCAGAGCCACATGCCCCATCAACCCACCAGTGCTTCTAGAGAGAAAGCAAGTGAGGAGTACCAATGGGGAGCCTGCTCTGGCTCCCGGGGAGGAGAAAGCCCCCCAGCTCCCTGCCCACTCATCTCAGTCCAGGAGGCTGCCTGCACAGTTCCCATCTTTTTAGCCCAAGGCTCCACTTTCCCACTAAATAGACACAACACTTCACCGAAGCTCGAGTATGAGAAATTTTCTGCTTGGCGTGTTTCATGTTCCACTATTTCCCCATGCATCACTCGCCTTTTGGAGGGGCACAGGAGAATGTGTCCAGTGTAAGCTTTGGGGAAGGCCTCCCCAAAAAGGAGAAGGAAGGGAACTGACCCACGAGGGAGTCTATCCTCTCCCTCTGTCCTCCCAGGTGTTCTCTCCCACTTTGGGGGCTTCCATGGCCTCCATGGCCCTCATCACCTTCCTCCTCAGGATGGCTATTCTCCTTTCTCCAGGTCTCTGCAGCGCTGATAGGAGTCCACTTTCTCGCCATGGCCAGGGGCATGATTGGTAGATTTTTTTTTTTTTTTTTGGTACCGGGGATCGAACTAGGGACCTTGTGCTTTCGAGGCAGGCACCAGAACCACTGAGCTAAATCCCCGGCCCAATTGATGGATTTTTTTTTCCCCATCCCAGCCTTTCTGCTGCTCTTTATTTATGGGATGAGGCTGGAGGCTGGCCAGGCAAACAAGAATTAGCTCCAAGCGTGGGTAAGTCAAATTCATTACTACCTCACTTCCCCCAAACATAATCACGACAACCATGCTTTAGTTCTTGTTTCCAGCAGGTAGGAGAAATACAAGTTGCACATTTGCACATACAGACTATTCACAGCAATAAAGAAAAGTGAATAAAACAGAGACAAGCTCCCAAGAGCAGGGACTTGAAAGGTGGGGGAGCCTGCCGCCATGGTAATGATGGGCACTGTTGGTTTCCCCTGGAGTCTCTTCTTGGTCACATCCCCTAAATTTGGGGGGTGCACCCAACTTCCACTCACGATAAAGAATCTGGTCACAGACAGAAAGCATTTCCACGATGAATCTCTTGGCCCTCTGGATTCCCAGCAGTCACGAGCAGGTCATCGACATTCACAGTGGGGACGCTCTTTAAGTGTCACTAGGTGAACCTGGAGGATCCTTGAGTATCTTTTTAAGGACGGAATTGGGCTGGGCTCCTTGGCGGTGGGCCTGGCTCCCCAAGTAGGGCAGAAGCAGGAACCAGAGCAACTCAGAACCCAGGGGAGAAGTGGGTACCAGCAAAGGAAACCCTCATTCACTTCCTCAACAACCCTCATAGCCATTTCCAGAAATAGCTGCAGCTGGTGGCCCAAACAAAGCCCTCGAGGGGAACCTGGTGAGAAGATGAAGGGGCAGAGGAGGGAAACAAGCGGCCCAGATGCATACAGAGCTCCCCTTAATGAGGAGGCAGATAGGGTGGTGACCCCAACTGGACACAAGCAGAGCGGCTCACATCAGTGAGCTCTGTGTTTGGCCGAGGTTACATTGGCCTCTCTCAGTTCCACCTCCTCCCTCGAGCTCCAATCCCACTAACAAGCCATTGACCTTGCGTTTGATCTGGGGTTGATTTGCTGCTCTGTCTGGGGGAACCCCAAGGGCCTTGTGGCCTAGCAGGAAGAACTCCTCCTTATTTTAGCAGCAATCATTTTTCCTCTCCCCTTGCCACAGTGATCAAATTAGCAGGCTGCTTCTCCTTGGAGAAAATGTGTCCATGGTCCCGAGAGGCACTGCCCATTTGCCTGTCTGATGGGCTTGGGGAGGGAAAGCGGGGATGTATGTGCACATGTGTCCCTTCCTTCCCCTGGCCCTGGGCGGGTCTCTCCCACCTGGGATGGCCACCCGGCCCTCGGCAAGGACCACAGGAAGGGCAGTGCTGGGGTCTCAGCTGCAGGAGGCCTGGCAGGTGGCAGCATACACACTGCTGCCCACTGTGCCCCCGCTACTCAGGCTGCTGGCCGGGCACTTGAGGGGCTTCATGCTGCTGTCCCTCTGGATGTGCAAATGCTCCAGGCGCCAGCGCTCACAGCTCTTTCGAAACTCCATCTGGACCTTCCGTGGGAAGAGGAGGGGAACAAAAGCATCATGCAAACCAACTGCTCACAAAATGGCCCCGTTATTACATTAGTGGGGAAGGGAAAAAATCCACTGCATTATATCAAGAGACACGAGTCAAGGCCTTCAGGCACCTAAATTAATATCCCAATAAAATTGTTCATTGTTGTCTCCTATTTTCTGCCTCTCCTCAGGAGAGAGATGGGTTTGATGGTCTGGTTGGTCCTTTCCATCTCTAAAGTCTGTGACTCAGCTAAGTACCTTTTACAATCCATCACAGCATTGTTTCACGGAAGAGAAGGAGAGCAGGGGGAAACACAGGGAGACAGGAGATGGGAGAGGAGGGAATCTGACGTTAGAACGCGCTCTCTGATCGCAGCTTGGACAGCTGAAGGAACCCGTGCACCCTTGTCCCTTGTGGTGCCTGCTGCAGACCATCTAAACTCCCGGGGGGTTCTCTCCAGCCCCTGCACCTCAAGAGAAGAAGGAGTGAGGAAGCTAGAGGGCTGGGGCGAGCTGTGGACTAGGCATCTCTGAGGTCCAGTCCTGCTCGAGGCATCGAGGTACATGGAGGTGCACCCAGCCCCACAGAGCTCAGCACCGAGTCCCCACTGGGGTGTGCCTGGTTCCCTCAGGGGAAGCCTTTGCCAGAGGGCTGGCGCTCGGGACAGAAAGGTGCAAAGGCAGCGCTCCAGACCCTCAAGGTCTGTGACCCCACTGTGGCCCCAGGCATGGCCTGTGACTGTGGTTCCCAGAGAGGGGTCTTGGCTGTTCTTCTGGGTGTGATTCCCATAAACTCACCTTCCAGAGCCCCTCTGCTGTCCTTTGATGACCTTGCCCGCAACTTCCCCACATAGGAGCATCTGAGGCCCAGGCTCCTCTAAGCCCAAGCCACCAGGAGGGCCGGCTGCCAGCAGCTGTGGGTGAGGTGCTCTCTGCTAACCCCCCCCACACCAGTCCCTGTGCAAACAGCCCTCCTTCCTCCTTCTCTGCCATCCATCTAGCTAAGCCCAGCAAGACGCCTGCTGGGGCTGCATGCCATCCCTTAAAAGAACTTCTGCACTGAGTACGGTGGAGATGGCCCAGAGCCAGCCTACCGGGATGGCCTGGTACCCCAGGCGGCACCATAGAGCCCAGGCCAAGCAGGATGTCTATGGCGCCCTGCTCTGTGCCAGCAGCCTGTGCTGACAGCTGGGATGGGGCCACCTGAGACTGACAGTGGCTTCCTTTGTGCAGCTGCAGGGAGGCAAATCGTGTCTCATAGCCGTCCACTGAGAGAAGGTACACCCACAGGTGCCACTTCAGAGACTGCAGTGGCCACAGGGACCCCAGCAGGATGTAAAGTGCTGGACATAGTTTCCCTCTCTGCCCCAGCTCCCTCAGCACTTTTTGTGAACCTCTGAGGTGGCCCCCACGATCCTGATTGTCCTTAATGACCACCATCTATGTAACCAGCATCTTCCATAGATTATCTTAGTCACTATTCTCATCAAGCCTGTAAAGTGGTTCCTGTCATCACTCCCTGCTTAAAGGGGAAGAATAGAGGTGCAGAGTGTTTAGGTGTCTCCCTGTGTCTCAGGCAGGATTTGAACCTGGATGCAACTTCACTCCAATGCCTGGCCTCCTGCCTACAACACCACCTGAGGTCCTGCTTGTCCCTGGCTGTGTCTACTCCCTGCTCACTGAGGAGCAAGCACCTTGGGGCCAGGGCCATATCTCCCTCATCTCAACATCCCTGCACCTACACAAGGCCCAGCCTCCAGCAGGTGCTCACTATGTGTGTTTTAAATGAATAAATACATGGGCATCAAACATCAAGTCTGCTCCTCAACTAAGCAAATGAAATAACAAAGACCACAGCCGCTCCGGGAGACCCAGCCCAGTCCCTCCCCCTGCACTCCGAACTGTGCCTTCCGGCAGACTTGTCCTAAGCACCCTTGCTGGCCAGGCGCCACGCCTGCCCTGGGATGGGGTGAATTGATAAAGCTCATTCAGCTCCATCTACACTTGAGGAGAAGAGCCAAGAGAGGCAAAGTGACTCCCTGGGGTCACATGGGAGTCCAGAACCCAAGGCTCCGGAGCCACCTCGCTCGGCTCTCAGACACAAGCTCCAGCCAAATCACCTCTAGGCCCTGAGTCCATCCCGTCCCAATCCCGACTCCAGGCCACCAGCAGCTGATGCAGGCCTTGACACCAACAGGTCGCCAATGCTCAGGCCTTCTTTTCTCCTCAGGTCACAAGTACCTGGCATTACCATGGTAACCTTGGAGAAGGGCTCTTGTGGATAGAAGCTTCAGCCTAGGAGCCTCGTGTAACTTTTTTTTTTTTTTGGTACCAGGGATTGAACTCAGGACCTTGCGCTTGCACGGCAAGGGCCGGAACCACTGAGCTAAACCCCTGGCCCAGCCTCATGTATCTTTGGTGGTCCAGGAAGGGGACACCTCTGTCCCTGTGCCTGGGAGGTCTCTGGGGCGGGTTTAAAGGAATGGGGCGGTAGACTGACAGGAGGCAGGCTCTCCAGGCCTCTCAGCGGGGTCTCCTGAGCCTCACAGCAGGAGCCTGGGAGAAACAGAGCCGACACTAGTGGGGCCTATAGCCAGCGCGGCCAGAGAGGCACAACACAGGGAATTTGGGGGCAAGTTCTTTGCCAAGAACAGAGCAGGGAACTGTGGCTGTGCCTCCCTCTTAACAAAGCTGGGTCAGCTGTGGATGGTGGATGAGGGGGGAGGCGACTGGGGTCTAAGGGACAGAATCAGGAGAAGCCGCTGAGCCAGGGGCTATGGCGGTGGGAGGCTGCGCTCCGGTACACGCAGCAGGACTGGGTGAGTGTGCAGTTACTGCTTTAGGGACAGAGGAAGGAAAAGTGATACCGCACTTGGGTTGAGAAGGTGGCAAGGTGGCAGGAGGGAGCCTCAGTCTCTCCTGGGCCTCTGCTGTCATCAGCACATGGGGGACATGGGCCATGCTGCCGCCTGTCCCATCCCACCGGGCTGGGATACAAACAAAGCAGCAGCACTAGGGCCCCCCCCGCACTCATTTGCCCTCTGGCTGAGGAAGCACTGGTTTCCCTCCCCTTTGGGGATCGAAGGCCATGTGCTCTGAGCTCGTAGGAAGTGAGCCGAGAGGAAGCTGGAGGAAGCCTCAGGACAGGGCTGTGCTCTCCTCCCTTTCCAGCTACCCAGCCTCACATTCTCCACAGTGTCCTCTGAAACGTCCGGGAGCCACTGCGAGCCAGGTGCTCTCTGAGGATCCTGCAGACCGAGACACAGGGTCGTTCCTGCCAAGGAGCGGCCTGCAGGAGTGGGCAGGTCCTCGGCACCCAGCGATGAAGGGGACCCCATGCTCGACCCGCCCTTCCCACCATATGCAGGCTTTACCTCACCTAACCCTGGCAGGAACTCCAAGACCCTATGGCCCCTATTGAATAGATGAGGAAACTGAGGCTCCTTGGATGAGTGAAACTCACCTCGAGCCACAGATGACTACGCAATGGGCGTGGGTCAGAGTGGATGTGATGCGGAGCACACACGCTTGCATCTTTTCTACTACATCACATTTTGTTCTGTGAGCTGCAGCTCACAGCTCCCCAAACCACAGAGGGCCTCACCATGGTCCCACCCATGTGCCCCACACCTGCAGCACAAGGCAAGACTGTATTAATGGACTGATACTAAGATCTCCAAGATCCTGGGCTCAGTGACATAGAAGCCACACCAAGTGTCATTTTTGACATCTGGTTTGATGGCTTGGCAGTACCTAGGGGAGAGAGGCCTTTCCGGGTGCCCACAAGCAGCCTCCTCCCAGGGGTTGGTCGTCTCTGAGAGGGGAGAGAGGGCTCCATGGGCACGACGAGAACTGCCTTCTCCCACCCAGCATCCAAAAGCCACTGGAGGAATTTATCCCCTTTCCCCCGTGGACCAGGGCTCTTGCCTGTGTACACAAAGAACAGGGTATTTCCTTCTTTAAATCGAAACTAAATTGATCCTGGATCTGCCATTACTTCCGGGCCAAGCCTGGGGCAGGTTTCCTATATCCTCTGGCCTTCAGTGTTTTCAGGAGCAAAAATGAGAATAATAAAATTGGAATTTTAGCAGTGTTTTTTTTTGGGGGGGGTGGCCATTAAATGACACAGTGATTACTAAAGCCCCAAGTCTGCAGTTGGGTTGTGTGTGTTGGGACACTTTGTAGTAGACAGTCATTGCCACCCAGGACCCTCTAAACATGAGGCTGGGTCTTCCCTAAGCTCTAATACCATTGTGCTATGCCTGCACGTTTGCATGTGGTGTGTGAGAGAGAGATAGACAGACAGGCAGAGACAGACAGAGAGACCAAGCAGCTACACAGGACCTTCGCAAAGCAGACATGGGTATATTCAAGCAAGATGCCACCTCTACTCCGGTGCCTCAGTGGGGTGAGCAGCGGCATCCCCAGGGCACCACTCCAGAGCAGCTAATGGCCCAGCAGTGTCCCCAGCGTCCCTCCTCATGCCTTACCTCATTGTTGACAAAGCAGTACAGGATGGCCACCATCAGCCCCTGGAAATGAGAGGCGGGTAAGCAGAGAAGTGCCTTGGGGCTTCTGCCCCGACATTCCCCTCCTCAAATCAGCCGGCCCAGGCAGATCTGGGGACAGGCAGGGGCTCCCCTCCCATTTCTTTTCTGGAGGAACAAGGAGCCCCTTGCTCAGATGCTGCCAAAGCCCTACAGACGCCTGTCTGCAGGAGGCTGGATCCAAGGAAGGTCACAGCCTGTGAGCCTGGGGTACTATCCCCACCCACCCATCTGCTCCCTTGGGCCCCAGTGCTCCCAACCCATGTTCTATCTGCGTGATGTGTCTACATGTATGTGACACACACATATAGGCCCACACACTTGTACACACCCCACGACACTCTTGAGGGGCTGGGGCCAATTTCTATTTTCACACCCCTGCTTTGGAACCTTGTGGCTCTGTAAACCTTGTTTTAACATCTCTGCACCTCACTTTCCTCCTTTGTGAAGTGGGGTGATGCCACAGTCTGCTGGCTAAATGCCTTGTGTGTCTACAGCACCGGGAAGGGTGCCCACAGCACAGTAGACAGCAGCTGCAATGCCAGGCTGAGTCCCCAGGGCAATCCCAGAAGGCTCCTTGTCCCTTGAGCTTACAGAGAAGCCTGGCCAGCCGTCAGGACACCTAGGGATCCCAGCTTGGGCTCTGCTCCACCATGCAACTTTGGCCAAGGGTCATTCCCTCAGCTGCAACCTGCCCACTTCTCCCATCTGTGCTTCCCAAGCAAATGCCCCCGGCCATGAGTCACCTGGAAGGAGGTGAAGGAGAGCTCTGTGAACAGCTTGATGAAGCGCAGAGTCCCCCGGGCATGTTCGTCCATCACGAAGGCAAAGATGACCTCATGGGTCCCCAGCAGGGGAATGAGCGTCAGAGTAGACTTGGCCAGTCTGGGAGGCAGGTGAAACTTTCACCCTTGCTGGACCCCTCTCTCCTCTCTGTGCCCTCCCCACTCCTGGTGGAACCTGGCATCTGGGTCAATGGTACTCTTCTGCTCCAAATACCCTCAGACAGGTTCCCTGGAGGGCAGGAAAGAGGTGGAGACCTCCCAGGAGCTCATGGGTTGCCCAAGGACAGGGTGAGGGAAAGACGTGAGGGTCCTAAGCCAGGCTTGGGCAGGGGTAGAGGGTCCCAGAGGGCTCCAAATTATGCATCGCAGGATCTCTCTGGGCAGGAAGGAGGGGCTGAGGGCCCAGCAGGGCCAGCTGGTGAGGTCACCTGCACTTGATGTCTGTCTTGCACATGAGATTGGCCTTCAGTTTGGACACCACGATGCAGATGACCCGGATGAAGATGAGGAAGTTCACCTGCAGAGCACATGGACCCTCACCCACTCTCCTGTCCTTTCCCTCGCCCCAGCCTGGTGCACCCCAACTTCTACCTGCACCCTCGCACCATCACTCACCCCAACGGCAAACAGAATGGGCAGCCGGATGATGAGCCAGTAGTTCATGTTTGAGTTCCTGGTCCAGCATCTGGGGAGGAACAGAGGCGCCATGCACATAGGTGGACTTGCAGAGCCCCAGCTCCCAGGGCAGGTACAGGGGGCCTGCAAACACACCAGCCACGCAGAATGCCATGCCCACAGCCATGGGGCTACTCAACAACTAGACCCACAGATCCACACAGAGAGCTAGGTACATGCACGCACGTGTGCGCACACACACATGCACGCACATGAGTTCCCAACTACAAGGTCACATATAGAGAGCTACACACAGCCCCCAGTTGACCTTCCATGGACTATGAACACAGTCATGTGTATAGCTAGCATTACACATAAAACAGCAGAGGCATCTCTGTCACCAACATTACAGAAGAGCCTGGAGGAGGCCACCTTGTATCCCGACTCCCAGCACCATCTGTCACCATCCCACCCTGGAGTCCTGAACTCACACAGTAAGCTCCTAGCCCCTTGGTTTATCCTCCCAAAGGTGGAGCCTCCGTGTCCCAGGGTCCAAGAATCGCATGGACTTTAAGGGCAGCAACCTCAGCAACACACTCCCCTGGAGCAGTATACTCACCCCTCATCCTCATAGAGGTACTTGACAATGCCCCAGGGGATAACAAACAGCAGGGGAACACCTAGGAGGAGAGAGGGAAAGGCAGAGGGGAGAGGGGCTGGCAGGACAGAGCCCCTGGGTGTGCGCCCTGGGCCCTCACACCTCTAGCCCCTCTCCTTGCCTGGCACTAAACCCTGTCCCTAAGCAGGTCTGGCTGCACAGGAGATGGGAGGTAGCATGAAGCCCACACCGACACTCAGACCCTTCCTTAGGAAACAGTCCTCTTAGGACAGGCACACTATTGGAACTTCTCCACAGCACAGACATCCAAGCAGCAGAGGGACGGGGCCACGCATGGCGCAGGGTATGCTGGACAGGTCAGGGAGCAGAGGAACTCTGATGCCCACGCCCTCCCCTGCAGCCACATGTCCATCTCAGCCAACTCCCTCAGCAACCGAACCCTTCAGATGTTGTCCCCCAGCCCATGCGCCTGCTGCCAGCTGGGGAGGAAGCCTGGGTGAGAGGTGACACCCCTCTCCTTGACACTGGCGGGACGATGCTAAAGGCCTGGTCCCCAGAGTGGTGCTAGTGGGAGGCAGTGGTGCCTTAAGGGGATGGAGCCTTGTGGGGGGGGCCCACAGGCCATTGGGGACCTGTCCCTAAACAGGATTTTGGGACTCCTCACCTGTCTAGTCTCCCTCTTGCTTCCTGGCCAGAAGGTGAGCAGTTTGCTCAGCCATGTGCACTCCACCATTTCCATCTGGCACCCCCACAAGACACCCAAAGCAATGAGTCTGACTAAATAACCCTTTTCCTTTCTAAGGCAACTCTCTCAGGTATTTCATTACAATAACACGAAGGCGAGCAACACCCTGGGGCTGTTGACAAGTGCAGCAGACAGCCACTTAGATGGCCCCCGTTGATCCCCATGCTGTGGTACTCATGTCTTTGTGGTCCACAGTGCACCAGGATTAGTTTGTGTTTCTAATCACCCGTTGTGGAAGTAACGGTAATGGTCGCTTCTGGGAACAGGTTATAAAAGACTGCAGCTTGTTCTAGTTTCCCTCATCTCCACTCATCATTTTCTTTGGGGAACCCAGTTGTCACGCCATGGGGTCAGTCAGAATGGCTCTTGCAGAAAGGAATGGAGCCTCCTGCCAACAGCTTGGTGTGGGAGCTTGGAGTTGATTCTCCACCCCTAGTTAAGCCTGAGATGCAGCAACCTGGCCAATATCCTCACTGATTTAAATTAGGAATCCTGAGCCAGGGTACCCAGCTATGCTGAACCCTGATCCCTGAACATAAAACTATGAGATGATAATCATCTGCTGCTTTAGACAGCTGTGTTTTGGAGTCACTTGTTACATAGCAACAGAAACCTAATGCAATTGCTTTGCAGTTCCTGGAGGGTCGAGCGGAGGACCGGCTCACGCTGAGAGTTCAGTCTGGGCCGACTACTTTCAATTTGGACGGTCCATCTTCCCAGACAGGTGAGGAGATGGATCAGGAGCTCAGAAGGGCACAGGCAGAACTGAACTCCAGGGCTGCGGCTCCACACCCAGTCCAATCGCTCTCAACAGCTCTCAGCACCAGCTGCCTCTACTGACGCCTCTCTCGCGTTGGATTCTTGGGTCTGACATAGGGAAGGCTGTGCTTATTAAGGTGTGTGGGCCCCTCTGTGAGTCCATGTGGTAGGGTACCTCTGAGGGGTCTCCCCAAGAGCACATTTCCAGGCCACTCCTATCACCATTACCCATCTCCTCCACTCATCTTTGTCTACGCACGCGCAGCTAGCGCACAGCTCCTGTGCTTGAGAGGGGGTGAGGTGGCAAAGCAGCACACAGCTGGAGAGTGGTCTTCACCAGATCCCCCCACTTTTTTTTTGCAGTACTGGGGTATGAACCAGAGCCATCACATTGAGTTAAATCCTCAGCACTTTTATAACTTTTAATCTTGAGACAGGGTCTCACTAAGTCACTAAGGTGCTCAGGCTGGACTCGAACTTGTCAACCCCCGCCCCAGCTTCCCAGCGTTCTGGGCTGACAGGTGTGTACCACCACACCGGCTGGACCATTTATTTGACACAAAGCAGCTAATTTATTTTTTATATAAAAGAATCAAGTGATCTTTAAATGCCCTAAACATAGCGTGGATCCTGACACATAGAAGGCGCTCAGTAAGGAAGGATGAACAAATGAGTAAGGAGGGAAGAGCCTTAACATATTAAGGAGCTCTCCAGGCAGGAGCATGCCAGTTCCTCAAGCTGCACACATTTACAGAAACTGTGTTTCTTGTGGTACTGGGGGTTGAATCTAGGGCCCTGTACTGAGCTACATCCCCAGCCTCCCCCCGCCCTGTTTTAAAAATTTTGAGTCAGGGTCTCACTAAATTGCCCGGATGGCCTGGAACTTGTGATCCTCCTCCCTCAGCCTCCTGAGCAGATGGGATTACAGGCCAGGCACGCGCTGACCTTTCTCTCTGGGAGCCCCTCCAGCAAGGGGGCATCACCCATGTTGTCAGCCAGGCCTGGTGGGCTCCACTCATCCCTGTGCCCACACACAGGGCCTTTTCTGAAGCACGAGCACAGCTCCGCCGCATGCAGACACAACACACTTCCTGCAGGCTGCATCTTTCTCCCATTTGGAAAACCAAAGCAGGCTGGAGAAAAAGCTCAAATGAAGGCATACAGAACTGGCTCTGGGAAGTAATGTTCCCCCATTCATCACTCCCCTCCCCTCCTGTGAGTTCCCAGGGGCACCCAGCTGCTTGTAGACAGCAGCAGAAGTTGACATGGCCTTTAAGGGCTCCCGAACTACGTCACAGTCCTAAGTTTAGTTCTTCTGCTAAAAGTTCTTCCCAAGCATCCTCCTTGGCCCAGGCCTCCTGGCATCACAGCAGAACCCTTGGGTCTGTCTCTAAGGGTCCCACTTTCTCACTCTTTGTTCCTGTGTCTCTCTGCCTCCCCTTACCCCAATTCCTCAAGAAAAAGATGCTCTAGTTGAGGAAGTGCCACCCGTGGTCCCTACCCCGGTGCTCCCCAGACCCTGAGCCCTGAGCTTGGGTGTGAAGTGGTAGGAAAAGGACAGAGGCCTCCAGGATACCGTGTGTCCCCATCAACTCCAGCCAACCATCCGCTCCCCTGCACACATCATACCATCCCTTTGATTGGGCCTGCCCTCTGGTTGCCATGGTGACAGGCCCTAACAGCACTGATGCTATTTCCCAGAATGGCCAGACACAGTCATTCACCCCAAGACAGCCTTGCCGAGCGCCCCTGGATGGGCCGCCCCTCCCCCATGCCACCCCCAGGTTGCTGCTGGCCTCTCCTGCCTGACTGAGGAAGCCTGCAAGTGGGGAGAAAGGGCTAGAAGGGGAGGTGGGTCCTGGGGCAGGAGAGCGGAGCTTCAACCTGTGTGGGGAAGCCAGGCGTTCCTGCCACCTGCACAGAGGCCGAGCCTGCTTGGTGGGGCCTGCAGAGGACCGAGGGATGTGACATAGGCTGAGATCTGTGCATGACAGGCAGAGACCCAGGGCCCCAGAAATCAGGAGGCTTGGGCTCCAGTGCCTGCTCTGCCTTTGAAGCCCTGTCCGTCTCTGGGTCTTGCACGGAAAACACTGGCCACACAGGGATGAGTGGCAAGCAGGGAGGAGGTGTGGTATAAGGAAGAGGACCTACAGCTTCAGGGGCAGATTAGGGTGGAAAGCGGGCTCTGTCTCAGGTAGGTGCCTGCAGTCCCTCCAGCCAGGGCTGTCCCCTCAACTTTCCTGCCAGTGCGGGGCTCCCAGTCCTGCCCCTCGTCAGAATCCCACGTGGCGAGAGGCAGAAGCACAACCAGAAATGTTCCAGCAAAAAAAAAGACACGATGGTTCTTGGCAAACTTTTTTGGCTAGAACATTTCCAGCTGGGCTCCAGGCACATTCGCGGTCCACCCCTCCCGTGCCTTGGCTGCCCTCTGGCCGCCCCACAGCCCTGGCTCTCTCTGGGCCTCCTCTCTGTCATCATCCTGCCTGCCTCAGGCCTCACCTGCCCGCCCTGCTCTTCTTCTCCCACCAAGGACTCACCATTTCCCTCGGGGCCTCAGCTGCCCTGGGCGGGGTGTGGAGCTCTTGCTCCACGGGACCTTGGAGCGGGGGAATTTAAGCACAGGGCCGAGACTCCAGGGCTGTGTGCCCAGTGGTAGGGGTGGAATTTGGACAGATTGGGGTGGAGGCTTCCATTCAGGGAGAAGAGGAGGTTCCAGCAGGCCCCCTCCCAGCTGTGTGTTCCAAGTATCAAGTCCAACAGGGGTCAGGGCCTCCCACCCCATCTCGGGCCGGGGTGGTCTTACCCCAGCCTATGCCCAGGTAGAGCCTGAAGACACGCTGCTCGGAGAAGACTGAGAAGGCCAGCAGGGTGTAGAGGTACACGCCCTCCACCAGCAGCCAGTAGTAATTGGCCGCCACGCAGTACTGCATGAGCAGGAACACCAGGCGGCAGCCCAGAGAGTCCTGTTGGGAAATACAGGAAGCGAGTGTGGGGACCGAAGCCCTGCCTGCTGCCTCTCTTGACTCCCATCCCTGTCCTGCCCCAGCTACTATTCTGCCATGGTTAACGTGCAGCCAGGGAGCTTCCGTCTTCTGCCCAGGGCTGGTGCTGAACAACTCTGTCTGCATTAGCTCCCTGAGTGGCAGAAAGTACCATAATGCTATCTCTAGGCAGGTGAGAAAATGAGCCGTAGAGAAGTGACCTGCCCAGAAGTATACAGCTAGTAAGCGGCAGGGCTGGGGTTCAAGCTCAGGTCTGTCTCCAAAGACTGCTTCCTGTGTCAGGCTGAGAACCCCCCGTCGAATGGTTTTCTCCCTTAGTCTGGGGCCCCCCTGGGTAGGCTGCCACCCTCATCAGATCGGAAGAAAGGTCCCCAAGGTACTGCATTCCCCATCTGACCCAGGGCTCCCGAGCACAAGGCTTGGTGGCTCTTTCCCTTTGTTGCTCTGGAGTAGCAGGAGCAGCCCTTCCCTGACTGCCCACCCTCCCCAGCCCTGCTGGCCACACCACACACCTGGTAGGAGAGGAGCCCATCCCACCGGTGCTGCTGTGCAGCCGTGCTGTACATCCACTTGAGGGCGGCGTCCTTGATGAAGACAGACAGGGCTCGCAGGATGAAGGATGCAAAGAGGTTCAGGTGGATGTAGTTCCGGGTGCAGTGCAGGTGCCTGAGGGAGGAAGCAGGGCCTCCCTGGCAAGATGGCCACACTGCGCTCTACCACCCCACCCGGCACACCTCCAGCTCCGGGGCTGTGCTTGGGTCTTCCTTCCTCTGTGAATGCCCTTCTCCCTTGTAACCCTGGAAATCCAGGCTCAATTCAAACCCTGGCTCTCCAAGAAGCCCTCGGCCAGGTAGTCATGCCCTCCGTGTTCTATCCTCTGCCTGCTGCATCTTCTCTCACAAAGTCATGCAGAACCACAGACACGGATACGTGAGGATCGGTTTCCCCAATGGGGACTTTGCCCACAACTTAATATCTCTGTCCTGCTCACAGAGGCAGACTGGGGCTGGAACAGGCAGGAATTCACATGCCAATGTTCTTTTGTGTAAAAAGGTATAGCAAGTTAGAAATACGAAGGCATTTTTCAACCTGATAAAAGCTATAGACCCAACCAGAAGTGCTTAAAACCAGGAACAAAATAAGGAATTGTGCTATTGTTACTTCTGTCCCACAGATACTACACATCCTCGCCACCAAAAAGGAAAAGGAGTAGAAAAGGACAAGACTTGGAAAGTAAATCTAACAAGAAAATGGGCAAGATCATTATGGAGATTATAAAACTTGCTTAAAAATACATAATGAAAAATTAAAGGAAAATGCATAGATACACTGCATTTATGGATAGAAAGACTCACTATCTTGAAGGAGTTTATTAGTTCCCCCAACATTAACTAGTAAATTCAATGCAGCTGCAATAAAAGCCCGAACTTTTTTGTCAAGGGACTTTAAAAACTTTTAAAGAAGATCTAAGGGCCAGGAATAGCCCAGACACCCCAAACCACACAAAAGAGGCTGTTGCTATAAGAGAAGTAAAATTTCTAACAAATCTTTAGGAGCTAAGGCACCATGGTTTGGGGACAGAGACAGAAAGGCCAATGGAAGGGGTGCAAATGACAGAAAGCAACTTACAAATACAGGAACCTTGGTGCACGGCAGAGTAACCAAGAGGGGAGGATAGGTTATCAGCAAACAGTACCGAGGCAATCAATTATATGTGCATATGGAAAAAAAGAAATCAAATAAATAAATCCCCCATTTTCAACCAAAAATAATGGTGAAAAGTTATGGTGGCTCAGAGAATAGTAAGAAGAAGAGAAAAGTCCTGTGACTTTTGAGAAGAAAATATAGGTGATTATGTTTGTGACCCCCAAGATAAGGAAAGAATTCTTTCTTTTTTTTTTTTTTGGTACCGGGGATTGAACTCGGGTCCTTGCACTTGCAAACCAGGCGGCAGAACCACTGAGCTAAATCCCTGGCCCTAGGAAAGATTTCTTAAAGATGAGCATAAAGAAATGTAGTCTTCAAAAAAAATAAATTCTTTTTTTTTTTTTGTACCGGGGATTGAACTCAGGACCTTGAGCTTTCGACGCAGGCGCCGGAACCACTGAGCTAAATCCCCGGCCCCCCCAAAAAATAAATTCTTAATCCATTGATAAAGTTAATTTTTTTTATCAAGTGGCAGCACGTATTGATAAATCGACCTGTTTCGTTATATTAAAGTGTAGAACTGCTGTGCATAAAAGGCACCACAAGAGTGAGTGAAGAAATAAGCCACAGACTCAGAGAGGGTACATGCTGGCTTAGTATCCAGAATAATGAATGCCTAAAATAAACAAGAAAAACCCAAATAAACCAACTAAAAACTAAGCAAAGGAAGTGAGCAAGTAATTCATAGGCTACAATATGAAAATATGCTTTTTGTCTCTAGTTATCAGGGATATTTCACACACTTCAGATTAGCAACACTTAATTCTGAAAACGTGAAATATGGATGAGAATATTCTGCAAAGGGACCTCTTCTACTACTGGTGAGAGGCAAACTGAAATACTCCCTTTGGAGAACAAGTCAATACCAACCAGTAAACTGGCAAAGCAAGTGGCATTTGTTGGGCAATTCTACCCCCAGTTATACGGCCCAGGGGACCACACAAGGGGTTACAGATAAGAACGTCCATTGGAGCAGAGTTTGTCATTCAGAAAGAAAGAAAAAAAGGAAACACTTCAAATATCCATCAAAACAACTACAGACAAATAAATGGTGTTACAACAATGGAATCCAGAATGACAGTTAAAATTAATGAAACAGAACTGCCTCTATCAATGGGAATGAATCTCAATGTAATGTTGGATCGCAGAAAAACTGCAGATGAATATGTACAATGTGTTGTTAAAAATACACAAAACCCAGGGCCGGGGATTTAGCTCAGTGATTCTGCCGCCTGCCCTGTAAGCACAAGGATCCGAGTTCGAGCCCTGGTACCAAAAAAAAAAAAAATACACAAGACCCAGCTATATATTTTTACAGATGCTTACAAATATGGTAATAGGCTAAGGAAATGAGTAAGAATTACAAGAGGTAAATTCAGAGGTTTAGCTCTGGCAGGCAGGGTTGGGCAGGGTTAGGGACCCAGTTGGACAGGGTCACCAGGGGAGCACAATGCTTTATTCCCGAGTCACTGTGCTTCTGAATCTCAGAACTAATTCATAATAAAAGAGGAGAATACTCATCCAATAAATGCATTTACTGAGCACTGACTGTGTGACCAGCACTGCACCAGGTTCCTTGAGGACAGGAGGACAGGTGTCGCTGCTCCTGCTGCTTGGTGTCCTGAGGTCCCCGTCCTCAGCATCCTACAAGGCAAAGGAAGCTGCTCCCCAGCCCCTACTCTGTTTGTTTATTTTTGGTACGGGGGATCGAACTCGGGACCTTGCATTTGCGAGGCAGGCAGCGGCACCACTGAGCTACATCCCTGCCATCCAGCTTCTACCCTGGAAGAAGGGTATCATCTAGATTTGACCTCAGAAAGAATGTTTCCACCGAGGCCATCAAGCTCCAAAGAGAGCAGAATCCCTAATCACTGAATCTTTTGTAAAATCACATTGAATTTTTGATCATTTAAGTCACATCTGCTCACTGCAGAGGGTCCCCGGGCTTCCATGCGTTGGTAAAGCAGGCTGGGGACGGTGCCTATTGTGCAGTCCATATGCACCTGGGGACACAGCAGAGATTAGATCTGCCAGACTGATCGCCAGGCCCGGTCTCCAACCTCCTGCACTTCGGAGAGAAGGACCTGCTGCACTGTCACCTTGGTTTGCAGCCCTCCTCTACCCCGGAGAGGGAGCGGAAAGCAGCCCCCTCCAGGCTGCAGACCCCTTACCTGAAGCTAAGGAGGATGGCAGAGGCGATGACCAGGGTGGAGAAGGACAGCGCGTAGCCCACTGTGTAGATGATGTAAAGGGACAGGAGCTGCTCCTCCGGGGAGCTCTGTGTGCACACAGGGACACGAGTATGGATGGGGCACAGCCCACGGCCCCCTCTCCCCCATTCTTCTTTCCCAGACACAGGGACAGAGGTGGGGCCCAGGTCAGGCCCCCCTGGGGATTCCAGAACCAAGAAAGACAATAATCTGTGCAGATGGACATGGGACTCCTGAGGTCGAGCTCAAGGCCAGACAGCACCGTGTGCAAACCAGAGCCAGGGCTGGGTGAGACGCCACAGGCAGGCCCCGGGATGCGGAGACCCTACCGCCCCCTCTCGGGCTCCAAGCCCCTGCTCAGCTCACTTTCTCCCCGCGTTGGGACTCCTCGCACTCCGACAGGTCCCTCCAGGGCAGGCTGGAGTTGTCCCTGTGCAGCCAGAGGCCCTCTGGGGTGCAGAACCGGTACACATGGCCCTGCAGCACTGGGTGGGGAGATGGGCTGCTGAGCCTCGGCGCCAGGTAGGCGGCCCACCCAGTGCTGGAGCCCTTGTGGCTCCCCAGGCTCACGGTCACCCCTGCTTTCCCAGGACTGATGCTCCCGAGTTGCTGGCACGCTGGACCCCCTGCATGCATACATATATGTACACTCACACACACACTCTCACACACACTCTCACACACACACACTCCTAGTTCTTCCTCTCACACCATGAACCATGACGGCCCAGGCATGGGACAGGGTGTCAACAGGTGAAGATCACTAGGCTCTTCCTCCTGATCACCTGGGACTGCGCTCGGATGAATCTCCATCTTGGAGCTGAGGTCAGTTTAGTCCTGATCCATGTCCCAGTCCCAGCCTCACATCACACTCCTGACAAGGGCTGGTGCTGGGCAGAAGCGGCCCTGCCAGGCCCACAGCCGCTCCACGATTCCTGATTTTCCAGACTCAGTGCCCATCCCCTGCTCACACTCCTTGGGGTGAAAGGACCCTAAGAACAAGGCTGGCGCTGCAGAGCTGAGAGAAAGGGGTGAGGCGGCCGCTACATTGGGGAGCCCCAAAGTCTGTGAGGGGAAACAGACTTGTCTCAGGGAGCCCCAGCCTCAGAGAGACATGGCAATGTCCTCAGGGAACCTCACCCATGGGGAGCCCCAGTCTGAGGGGAGACACAGCCTCATCCTCAGGGAGTCTTGGTCTGAGAGAGACTTGGCATTGTCCTCAGGGAGCCCCAGTCTGAAGGGAGACACAGTCCTGTCTGAAGAAGGCCTGGCTCTGATGGAGGCACAGCCTTGTCCTCAGGAAGCCCTCGCTGGAAGGGGACACAGCCCCATCTGCGGAGCCCCAGTCTGATAAGGAGACATAGATTTCCTTTCAAAGACCATCTGCTCTGAAAGAAACACACAGTCTCACAGGGCAGACACAGTCTTTGCCCTTGGAAATTCTCCCTTTGTGGGGAAAAACCAAGCTTCTACCTCTAAGAAACCCCAGGCCATATGCTGAAGGTAGAAGCTGCCCTTGGAGGCCTCCTAGTCTGCCAGAGGGGAGCAACCCAGCACTCCTCCTGGGACTCCAAATATGGAGCCAAGACTCTCACAGAAAAACCAGAAAAGTCCCTAGGAAGGAGTGCTGCAAACAGCCCCAGCAGAGCTGGCGGTGGACATCACGTGACCACTGTCATCCCACCTGGACACAGCTGCGGTGGCAGCCCCTCTATCCTCCCAGCCCTCCCACTCAGAGAGATGGGTGGCTTCGTGGCCCCAAGTTTGTGTGACGCCAGGACAAAGCTTTCTAGAAGGAGGTGCCTCATTCCTTACCTTCTGCAGGAGAATGTAAGTTGGGTACCAAGGCCGCAGCACAGGGGACAAAGGGCGAGAGAGGTGGGGTTGGAACAGGGGAATCAAGGAGGGAAGCTGGAGGCCAGAACACATTTTAAAAGGATTTTAAATTTGAGAGACTAAAAGGATTGTAAAGACCAGCTTTCTGGGCTGTGGGAGGAAAGGAGAACGGAGAAGCCACCAGAGGCCCTGGGTGGCAGTGGCTGGCCAGTGTCCAGGTGGAGGAATTAGCCGTGAGAAGTCATGGCCATACTGAGGCAAGCTGAGGCGTGTTGGCAGCCCACCCTTCAGGGCCCCAGGGGCACCCTTCTAGGACAAGGGCCCCATTACACAGATCCTGAGCCCCGCTTAGGTGGTAGGGAGACCTTTCCATTAAGGTCACACACCAGCAGGGCCTGCCATGGAACCCTGTCCTCCTCGTCACCCAGCACAGCCAGCCTCCCAGCACTGTCTCTCTTCCTCTCCCTCCTTTCATGAACAAGCCCTAAACAAGGTCCTCCTCCAAGGGAAAGGAGTTATTGGAGTTCACAGCAGGCAAACTAGCTTGCAGCATTACTTCCTCTGGACAAACATGCCTTTTAAGACTTCAACTGGAAGAGAAACAACAACCTAAAAAGCTAATGGTGGAACTTCCCGTGGGGCATTATTAACACTGGGAGTTATTAACAAAAAATCAGGCCCCTAGGAAGGCAGAGAAGAGGGGCAGGCACACGTCTGATTGTAGCAACTTGAAGGGTGCCTCTCAGGCCCCCAGATGCCTCTCTTATCTGCGGCATGGATGCTTGAAATTCTCTACTGGGCTCAAGTTTTCAGGTGAGCAGAAAATCAGTCTTTGGATGCAGATATGGGGACCTGGGCTGACTCCGTGCGGAATGAAACTGTGTCAGAGCCTGGCCTGGAAGACCAGCTGGATGGCAGGAAGGGAGGAGAAAGCAGGGAGTCCAGGGGCCCCAATGAAGGGAGACAACACAGCAATGGAGCCTCTGGCACACAAGCCACCAGCCCACAGCAGTGTGGCTTCCCACAGCTGGCCCACAGCCTGGCCTACGACAGGCACACTGCAATTGCAGGTCCTCTCCCTACATGTTCCCCACACTCCTGCTCTGCAGGTTGTGCAGCCACAGAATTTGTGTCTGAATCTGTGGTTTGCACATCATAACCAGGTTATGCGCGCAGCATGTTTAATCCCATTTTACAGTTGAAGCAACAGAGTCTCTAAGAAGCCATGCAACTTGCCCAAGATCACCCAGCACAGTGAAGATTCTACCTCTACCTCTTGGCCTCCGAAGGCCAGCTTAGCAGCCAAACTTATTGCTAAGTCAACAACACTCCTCTGCCTTTCCTCGGGACTTGGATTTCCCACCATGCAGCCCTGCCCAGTGGGTCCCTTGCCAGTGTGGCCCTTGGCAGCCAATACTGTCCCAGGCCCTCTGCTCAGAGCCAGCTGGGGAGGTGGGTACAGATGTGTGCTTTCCTGGTACAGAGCCAAGGGATCACTGTGTCCCTGAAAAGCTCAGCCAGCCTGCAGGGGTGCATCTGTTGGTTGCCCTTCATTAGCATCAAATATTGAAAGCCAGGGCTGGTTCCTGGTGGAGCCTGTGGTCCCCAGGTGCCCATCCTGGCTGGAGGTGGGCTAGGTCTGGGCACAGCCCTGCTTATCAGCCCACCTTTATCTGGCCTAGGAGGAGCTGGCCAATCATAGCCAGGGGCTTGGCTCTGCTTGTTAGCAGGAGGTAGCACCCAGCAGCCGCATGCCAGGAGGCCCAGGGATATTTCATTAAGTCAGCCCCTGGTGCTGGAAATAAAACTCCCAATTAAACACTTCCCCTCCCGGAAACTGTCTCAGCGTCTGTAATCAAGCTAACAGCCACCCTTCCACGTGGACACAGGCACTCAGGGCTGTGGAGAGCCGCTCATGAATCCATTAGCTGCTGCACCGTGGCAACAGAGGTGGCAGCAAGACCTGCCAGGCCCCATTCTACAGACTGGGACGCTGAGACTCACAGACCTCGCGTGCCGGTCCTCCTTGCAGTGGAGGACAGGGTCAAAGGCAGACTGGCAATGAAGGCACCCGCGCAGGGCAGGGTGAAGGGTAGTGTGTGGCATCAGGACCCAGGAGGAGGACCCCAGGGACTCAAGTTCAGATCCTGGTTCTGCCTTCAACCAGCGGTGGGACCTCCAGGGGCTCACTCCACCTCCCAGCTCTCAGGTTCCTTATCTGTAAAAGGGGACCCTTCCCAAGAGATAGAGCATAGGAAGCGCCTGGTGCACAGTACGCTCCACAGCCACAGTGGAGACCCTGTGTCCCCCGACTTCACTGAACCCCAAGGAGCTGCAGCCCATGATGCCACTCCAGCTTGGCCCTCAGGCTCCCCTTGGCAACCTGGGCTGTAGTAAAAGCTCCCAGGCTCAACATTACTCAGGGGAGGCACCTGTCAGAGTTTCCAAGAATTGTGAATTATAGGCTATTTTAAAAGCTTTTTATGACTCTCATATAATTAGAACTAAGCTAACAAACAGGTAGAAATCAGGAGTGGGGCAGCTAATGAGCCTGGAACGATTTGTAATGATCAGATCAGCTGTTGGTGAGTACAAGAGGCTGCTGAGGGCCCCTCGGGCACCCAAAGGGTTGACACCAGCCTTGACACCCGATCTCGTGTCACCAGGCTCTCCCTGGGAACATGATCCTCCTGCCACTCATCCACTCCTGCCCCCTCTGCACCATCCTGACCCCCTAGATTCACAGTTCCAGGGTTCAGAATTCCAGGGCTTCTCTGGCCTCCCTGGGACACCATGTAGCTCTGAGGCCTGAGCCCTGGCCCTGTGACCAAGGTGCCACCTGAATGTTGTTCCTCCCTCCCTCTGCGGATGGCTCTCCTCCTCCCTTCTGCAGCTGCCAGTTCTTCCAGGCCCGACCCTGGGTCACCCATCCCTGGAACCCTTCCCAATGCCAAGCCTCAGGCACACGATGGTTCTGGCCTCCCTCCGCACTCAGCATCATGGTCAAAGGTGACCCCTTCTCCCTAGCACACTCCACCACCCGGTCTCAGGGAACCCCCAGCTCCTGGTGAAGACTTAACTCAGGACTCTGACAATGGTTTTGAATTTGATTCTTTCCCAAAGCAGCCACTTGTCTGCTCAGCTCTGTATCCCAGAAGGCTGAGACAGCATCACTCAGTTCCCTGTCCTTTGCTGGGCTGGGGCAGTGGGCAGCATTCAGGTCAAAGACCCAGCCTGGGACATTTCTCCCCGCTGCCTCCCTGCTTGATTCTGAGGTTCTGGCAGTGGGCTCACTCCTCTGTGGCCACGGTCATGCTGCCATGGGGACCCCCGACCCCATTCCTCCCCCTTGCTTCTCAGGCCCCAGGGTGCTAAAGCTTTCCAGCTCTGTGGTCCTTAGTGCACTGTATACCTACTTGGTCCCCTTGAGGGACCCTGGCTCAGCCCAAGGAAGCTCCACAACTGCCCCCCAACCTGCTCCCACATGGTGTGGGTGGGCCAGGGAGTTCCCAGGACCATGCAGCTTCTGCCAAAGGGGCACCAGGCCGGAGATGGCAATTATGGCACAGGAGCCTGTTGTGTGTCTCTGAGGTCCCTCACTCAGAGAGAAGAAGCAGATTTGGTGGTTCTGAGTGTGGGAAAAGGGAGTAAATTAGCCTGGCGGGGGGAGTGGGGGGGATCTGGCGGGGGGCTGTGCAGAGGCCGCTATCTTCACGGAGAAAGCAATAAAACCGTGTTCGCTCATAAACGGGCACCACCAGGACCTATTTCCTGCTCAAATAAAATTAAAGGTGATGGATGGAGCCACAAGCGGCAGGCAGAGCTGGGGGCGCTTAGCGCTGAGCGATGGGCCCTGTCCCGTGTCTGGCTCCCTGGGGTCTAGCGGCCCAGGCAAGCTGGCCAAGCCATGGTCCAAATCTCTGAGAAGCAGGGAAGGTGTGTGCCAATGAGGGCGGTCGGAGGTAGGCAGGGTGGGAGGGAGACACTAACAGCTATGCTCTCTCAGGGAGCTGCAATGCTGCCTACCTCAGCCGGCTCCATCCCAGCTCCCAGGAGCAAAGCAGGGCACAGAGAGGTCTGGGGAGTTGTCCCTCCTCACACAGCCAGTCATCAACCACGGGCAGAGCCACTAGACTGCAGGGCTCCCCGCACTTCCCCAGCATGTGGCAGCCAGCAGAGGTCACCCAGGCCACTTACCCATCCCCAGGCCAGAGCCACACACACAGGTACCCACCCCTGCCCCGAGGAAATCAAGCGCAGCAATGAAACATGGTGACTTTAACCTCGGATTGCTGGGTCTCCCACTCACTAGCCATGTGAGTTTAGAAAAGCCGCTTAGCATCTCTGTGCCTCAGTTTCCTCTCTGGAAATGGGAGGGCAATGGGATTACGTGCCTCAGAGGGTGGGTGGGAAGACTGGATGCAGGACATGTGCCGAGAAGGGCTGCTCCTCTCCGAGTCCTGCCTGGTGCCTGTCTCTCTCCAGGCCCGGCTGCCCCTGTGCCCCTCACCTCTGCCCGAGGAACTGAGGTCGGATGAAGCACATGTCAGGCCCTGTCAGTCACCTCCTCCAGGAGAACCCCTGGCTTCACCCGGCCTGACCAGATCATTCTCTCTACTGCCCATGGACCAAGTTCTGCTTGGGGTCAGGTCCTCCAAGAAAGAATAGAAAGAACAAAGCCAGGTTCAAATTCCGGCTCTGCCATTTACCACCTCAGTTGGAACAAGTGCCATAAACCTCCAGGGGCCTCAGTTTCCTGATCTGGACAAGGAGCATAAGCATGGGGTGGCTGTAAAAACTAAAGGAATGCCTTGCTTTGAGGACAGGACTGTGTCAATAAATGTCATAGACACATTTTATGATGAGAAGTGTCTTTTCTCCCTTTATGGAGACTCAGCACCTCATGGCAAGGCTTCTTGACTCCCCGTATTCCCCACCCCAGGGGCCTCAGCACAGGAGGCTGGGACAGAGTGACAGGGGTGGGGTGTATTAGTCACCCTCAAGTCAAGGGGCCCCCTGCAGCCTCTGTCCCCGTCCCATCTACCCAGTTACCTTGCCCAGTGCAGGGCCACACCACCAACCCTGACCACGGCTCCCATGAACCCCTGAAGAGTTGGGAAGCAGACAGGCACCCCTACCAGGAAGGGTCACCTAGACACACACACACACACACACACACACACACACACGCGCGCACACACGCGCACGCACGCACCCCAGGGCAAAGACACCCCTGTGTACCCCTGCATGTGTTGCCACCTGGCTTCCTCCTCAACTGCTAGATGATTGGGAGTCTCCTTCCTGTCTCCCGTCAGGCCCCACACTCCCCTCACAGCTGCCGACATCCCGTCCCCCAGCCGAGGCAGGCCACCGGCCAGGAAGCCTAAAGACTCTGGACTGGCCAAAGCTGTGTCTCGGTGCAAGGAAGCAGTGTCCCCCCTGGGCCCGGCCTCCAGGACACAGGGAAGGCTGCAGACTCACCGCTGCTGGCCCAGGGCAGGTACCAGGGGCAGCTGACGTTCACAAAGGAGCCCGGTGGCCCGTCTGGCCAGCAGGCGTAGTCATCAAAGGTCCGGTTGCAGAACAGGCCTGTGGGCGAGGGAGACAGGGAAGGAAGTGCTTGAGCTGGACTTAAAGCACCTGAAGATCTGGACAGGTGGAAAGGGGATGGGAGGCATTCAGATGAGGGGGCAGCTTGGCCCAGGGATAGAGGCACAGGGCAGGTATGGTATCCCAGACCGGAAACTGATGCCCAGTCGTGCACTTGGGTGGGGTCCATCAAAGCCTTCTGAGAGTTGGCTGGGCCCCACCTAGCCTCACCTGTGGCAGGGGGTGGAGTCTCAGTCAGGTTTCGTAGACACTGGCGTCGGTATTCTCGCCATTTCTGCACTGTCTCCGAGAGGGATACAGTTGCACCCTGGGTGGGAGGAGGGGAGCAGAAACGGGGCCCTGTGGGTCCAGCCAGCCCTTCTCCCACCCTCTGCCCCTCTAGGAGACCTCAGAGCTCAAACCTTACCACGCATTGGTCACCTCTGAGAAGGGAGGGAACAAGCGACTGCCACACAGGGGATCCAGGGGCAGCCTTTGACATCTTCACCCCTCCCAGGGACTGTGCATAGCTTGACAGGTCGTAGGTACCAGCGAATTGCTACAGAATGGATGTTTTCAGGGGGCGTGTGGGGGGAAGGGGAAGTGGGGAGTATGTGACTCATTCATGGTGTCATCTGCTCTGGCTGAAGAAGAGACTTCCTGAGAGCCCGGGCTTGGTCACTGCCTGGGATCCCCTCCTCCTGGAGCCCAGCCAGCCTGCCCGGGGACTGCTTGAACATTCAACCTCTCTAGAAGGAGACCCAGGGCAGAGCGGGAGAGGGACCCCACTGTGCAGGGCACACAGCACCACAGGAAGCAGAGCTCGGTGACTTGCGGGAGAACTGAGATGTGGGGTGCGGTGGCATTAGGGGGGCAGACAGAGCCAGGCTGTCGTCCGTTAGCATCCCAGCTGCAAAGCCAGTCATGGGTAGAGGAGGGCAACGGAATGCACAGTGCTCCCCTCTAACATGACACAGACCCAGGGTTTAGCCAGCGTCTGTCAACCAGGAGCAGGAGGAGACCCAAGGACGGGAGGAAGAGGTCGGGAAGGTTCCAGAACACTGACATCACACCTGCACTGGCTGCTGTTACAGAAATGACCAGAGAGCCCCTTGTATACAATTTAGGGTCTATATATAATTTAAAACTAAAATTTACTTTTTGAAATCACAAACATGTACACGTGTGTGGGAATTAAATCAGCGTCTTTTCAGAAGCCCACACCCCTGACTGGTAAATCCCCGAAGCACACGTGAGACCTGGTTTCTCGGTCTTGGTACCCTGCCTGGGTCTGGGGTGAGTTGGGGTTTATAAGACAGCTGTCTTTAGCCACCCAGAAAGCTCCAGAAGCAGCCAAGCTTGCTCTGAACCCTGGGAGCATCCTTGAAATGAGTGAGCCGGTGGGGAGTTACTGAAGGACACAGCTCTCCGGAGAGCAAAGTCAACATATTTGGTTTGGCGGGGAGGGATGGAGAAAAAGAAATCAATTACACTGACCACAAAGGCCACATCGTTACTGCACCTACACCAGAGGGGGTGGCACAGTTCACACTAGAGAGCCCTAGTGGTCCACCTTGTACCCCACCCCCTCCTTCCTCTCTCGTCTCCCCTCTTTCACCTGGGAAAGGTCTCTTCTTCCTCCCTCCCTCCCTCCGTGCAGCAGCTGCTGGTGGTGAGCAGGGAGAGATGGGAGAGAGCCCCTTACTGTATTTGTTTCCAATAGGAAAACTGGCAGGAAGCAAGGTCACTGCTGGGAACCGGGGCAGAAGGTGTGTCTAGCTGGGGAGTAGGAAGGAGGACTCCCGGGGACAGCAGCCTAAAGGTCGGCAGGCCACCCTACCCCAGGGAGCTTCCATAGAGGTGGCTCCATCACCACCTCTGAGTGGTGAGGGATTAAACCCTCAGGCAAGGGCCGGGATTTAGCTCAGTGGTTCCCCGCCTGCCTTGCAACCACAAGGCTCCGAGTTCGATCCCCGGTACAAAAAAAAATAAACCCTCAGGCTGGGAGTTTTTCAGGAGAGGGCCATGTCCGTCCTCACACTGGGGCTCCCTGAGGATGAGCCGTGCCTCCCCCTCAGCGAGAGGGCTTCCTCACGACAGAAGCACCTGTTCTGTCCCTACCCTGCTCAGGATCTGCGAAGGAACACAGCTCAGCTCACCCCCAAACCTGGGTCTGCTCGCAGGCAGCAGAGCTGCCTGGATCTCCAGCCTCTCGGACCCCTGAGAAGCCACACGTGTGCCACGTTCTAGGTGGCAGCCGGGGTGGGCGTGCAGAGATGAATGGAGGCTGCTGAGTGTTGGGGTTCAAATGCTCTGCAGAAAAGCAAGGCAGCCGAGAAGCAGAGGCCCCGGGAGTGGCCAGAGCAGGTCTCAGTGAGGCTATGACTCTGGGGCGCTCAGGACCATGAGGCGGGGACGCACACAGCACAGGGATGGTGGGGAGGCCAGGCTAGAGGAAGGAGGGTGGCATTTCAGCAGGAGGGCACAGTCGGGACTAAGGCTTAGCACATGGGCACACAGGGATAGGAAGAGAACAGAGGGACAGATGGATACCAGGCTCTGAGCTGGGACAAGGCCGGGGGACGCTGTGGTGGGTGAGTGGCTCTAGCTTCGAGCTCAGATCCCGGCTGGATCCTGGGACTCCCCCATCAGTGAGGCAAGTGTGCAAGTCTGCGTGCAAGTTTTAACTTCTAGCCTCAGTTTACACACGCAAGAAGGGAAACAACAGCAGCCCTGCCCACACCGGGCCATTGTGAGCCCCGAGATAGTAAGGCTTACCACACCCCTGGCGGGTGGACCGGGCTCAGTCCACGCAGTGCTTCTTAGGATGTCTGATCCTCAGGGGAGAGGGCAGAGTAGAACGAACAGGGCGGTCTGGCTTGCTGGGTTTCGGGGCCCACCCCTCCTTTACCTCTAGAAGGAAGAACCTAATACACCTTCATGGCCAAGGACCAGTCATCCTGCCAATCCGTGGTGTCTTCCAGCAGCAACTCCAGCCAGTGGCACAGTGAAGTGGGGGGAGACACGGGCCCCCAGCCTGTGACCAGCAGGATGTCTGCCAGGTGCCTTCCCCACCGCCCAGACTTAGGGCAGGTGGAGTTTTTAGGGTTAGGCCTTTCAAGCTTCAGGGAGTGGCTCTGGGAGGAGGAAGAAGGCAAGTGGGGACAATGCCTGGGTCTGAGGTGGCAATGAGGCGGGCCATCCCTCAGATTCGGGAGTTTGGGGTGCGTCTGCAGAGAAGGGCACCAGGCAGTCACAAGCCTCTGGTTCATATCCCAGCTCTGGCTGGTAATGCGGGACACATTTAATCTTTTGGGGCCCCAGTTTCCTCATCAGAAAGTGGGCACAGCATCCTTCTCAGAGTTACCATGCATACCTGGGTGACTTGCCAAGGCCTGCCCTGTGGGCAGAGTTGGAAGGAAGACACGGAGGGAGAGGAAGCTCTCGGAGCCATGGGCTTTCCAACCCTGGAAGGCTCTATCTCTCCAAGTTCTGGCCCCAACTGGAAGAGGGCCCCCTATTTCTCAGAGCAGATACAGCTGCCAGATTCTTTCCTTTTCTAGAAAGCATTTGGGTGGAGAGGAAGGAGACCTTGGTCTCTCTGGGCACTGAGGAGGAGAAGGGAGGAAGTGAAGAGTGAAGGAGGGAAGAGGGCTCCAAAGACACATTTCTGGAAATCCCGACTGGGTCCGGCCCTTCAGGCTCCTGGGGTCTCCTCCCCGACCTCCTCCCTGCCACCTCCCAGAGCCCGAACCCTGCCCCCGTGTCTGTGCCCTGCAGGAGCAGCTCCAGGCCCTTCTCTCTTTTCCCGCTTTTTCTTGCTGTGGGCTTTACATATCTGAACAGGCGGGCACGAGAAGGCAGACTACACGTCTTCTCACAGCCACGGGGACCATGCGCTGTCACACACGCTCTTCATTCACCTTCAGGACATTCCCAATGCCGAGAGCTTGGCCTGGGTCTCCCCACACACACACACCACACACACTCAGACGTTCATAGACATGGGATCACACATGGGGTCACAAACACACACTGTTGGACACACAATTACATGGTGAGATGTTGCACATACAGTGACTCCAGTCCAGGCAATGTCACCCAGTGTCACGCACAGATATACAGAGAAACAGGGGCTTGTGTAGCCCGCACACTTCTCTCCTGATCTGTCTCTCTCTGTCTCTATTGCAAATCTATCTCTGCAACTCATGCACACAGAGGTGTAGAAACATACAGCAATTTCCTAGGGGCAGGCTGCAGCTGAGGAAGGTCCTGTATTTCCTCAGCACAAGGGATTCGAGGGCAGGTTGTGGTTTTTCGGTTGTTTCTGCCTGGTCTCTACGCTGGGACCTTGTCTGGGAGGGAGCCCAGTTCAGCAGGAAGGCCACACCGACCTGGGCACAGCCCCATCCGCTGGGACTCAAGGGACAGGCTTCCAACAGCCCCTCTCCAGGCCCTATTCAGCAGTTCCAGGTCCCCGAGGACAAATAATCCACTCCCCCAAGTGACAAAAGCTACCATTTCAGGTGCCAGCGCCTCAGTCCTCTGTGACCCCACATGATAAAGTCCTATTTATAGATGAGGAAACAGAGGCTCAGGATAGTCAGGTGCCCTACCTAAAATCACCATGTAATAGCAGATATATGAACCCAGATCTGTGTGGCTTTAACTTTGGGTGTCAAAGGCTGTCTGCCTGCCTGTCTCCTCAACAGACAGCTCCCTCCTGGGGGGTCTTGGGAGATAAAGAGAGGGGAGGGGACTGGTTTATCCCAGGAACAAGGAAGGAGAGGCCCAGGTCACCTTTTCCAGAGGCAATCTACCCCCTGCCTGCAGGGAAGCAGCTTTCGGCCTCCCCAGAGCTCCAGAGGAGGAGGGGAACCCTCTTTACCTGAGCTTTTGTCCTTCCAAAAGCGACTAAAGGGGAGTAACTATTCCTGTTGACCTCATAGCAAATAAAATGCAGAATTCATTATTTTAGCGTTGGATCTGCGTGCATGAGGTTTTGTCACAATCACTGCAGTCTAACTCAAAGCCTCCTGTCACGTCCCTGCAGAGTCCAGGGGTGCCAGTGCCCCACAACAAGAGCATCCCCCCAAAACTCACACTCTCTGCTCAGTGCCCTGCACCTCCTGTCCTTCTCTGCCACCCTGGTCCTCTTGTGCCCCAGGACTGTGGAATGAAGGGGGACCAGAGGAAAGGGCAGGTTCAAGGAGCCTGACACCTCTGGGAAAAGAGGTTCAGGGGAGAAGACAAGCAGCCCACAGAACGGTTCCTCCTCACTTTCTCTCTCCCTTTAATGCTAGCTTGGCCTGCAGCAGCAGGGGAGCCATAGTGAGTCTGCACTCATGGTCCCACAAAGATCCCGAGTTCACCAGGAAAGCCCCTGCCTGGCTGGGGAGCCAGGGAAGGGGAAGAATGAGTCTAGGAAAGGATTTGAGTGCTGAAAAAAGTGCTGGCATCTTAGGTGAGAGACACATCTGCCCACATCCGGTTCTCAGGCAGTGTATGGCATCTGCCCCCTCCAGCCTGGCCTGTCACCTGCTCTGGGACACATTTCAAGGCCTCTGCAGGCCCACTCCTCAAAGATCTCAGTTCTGCAGGTCTGGAAGTAAGAGTAGGAGGTGGTGGGAAGCGAGTGTCCCCACACACAGGGCGGGCCACCCGAGCCTGCCCTCCACTCTGCTCAAGCACGTCCCAGCATCTCTGGATAACTGCCCTGTCCAAGAGCAGCTGACCACTTCCTCAGGCCAAGGTCCACCTGCCACCTGCTCTCTGGTGGCACCAAGGAGGTCAGGGTGTCCCCGCCTGTTCCGAGATGGGGGTCTGGTGTGGGCTGTCAACAAGGGGTTCAGAATGGGTGGGCAGGGTGTGTGAAGGGTCCTGGCTCTCCCTGCACCGAGCTTCCTGCCCGTCTGTCGCAGGGGCCGGGGGGAGGGGGTGGCACTTGAGTTCCATCTGGGAGGTCACAGAGGAAGGACGACAAGCTGCCACCACAGGGCCCCTGGGGGCTATGAGTCAAAGGCTGCACCTGGGGTCTTCAGGGAAAGGCTGGGTCTCCACCCCTAGCCTGTCAGCCCTCCCAGACCTCTCAGCGTGTTTGATCAACGATGGAGGACCGGAGGGTAGGGGGAGAATCGCAGACCGTGGGGGGGGGGGTGGCCAGCGGGGTCGAACCCTGGGTTGTGCCAGGGCGACTGGCACGGGTTTCAGAAGCACAGGAGTTGGAGAAGTGGTTTTGGGAAGGACAGAGAGAGATGCAGCGAAGTCAGCTGGCGCCTGGCAGAGGGGCCCGGGCGGCAAGAAGTGGGGCCTGGCCGGGGCAGGGGAGCCGCCCACCCACTGTCCACCTGGGCCACAAGCTCTGCAGTCCCCCTCGGTCCCCAGGCCCACGGCTGCTTGCCTGCGGTGGCGGAGTTTCGCTCAAGTCCCGGCCCAGGACCCCGCGCCCGCGGCGCCCCGTCCCGGTCCCCGTCCCCGCGGGCCCCCGGCTCACCTGGGGGCGGGGGCCGGCCCTGCCCACCGCCCCGAGCAGCAGGAGCGCGAGGCGCAGCGGGCTGGGGGCGCCGGCCATGGCGGGGCGCTCAGTGCCGGGCCATCGCTGCCACCTGCGGAACCGCGCGCCGCGACTGATCCCGGGCGGGCGGCGGGCAGCAGGCGGCGGGGGAGGAGCCGGCGCGGGGCCGCCCCACCCGCGGGAGGGGCCGGGCGGTCGCGGTCCCCCGCCCCGGCAGCCGCAGCCCGCATCCCGGCCCCGCGCCCAGCGCCCGAGGTCCCAGGCTGGAAGTGCAGGGGTCGGGCCACCTGCCGTGACGGGCAGCGACCAGCGGCCCGGCCCCCGCCCTCGCCCCCGCCCCCGCCCTCCTCCAGGAGAGCCGCCCTCCACCACCAACTATGCGGGGGCCCCAAGGAAACCGAGGTCGGGAGCGCACGGGACTCGTCCAAGGTCACGCGGCCCGTCGGACCTCTCCCCGAGAGCGCTCTCCAGAGCAGTGAGGGACTTGGAAGACAGAGCCACCCGCCGGGCCAGCCCCTCCCCAAGTCCTCTAGGGAGGCTGGGGCAGACAAGGATGGGAGCAGGGGACAGTGGGCCAGAGCAACCCTGACAGGGTCTACGCGATCCGCTCCACCTGGGAATCACCCTAGGGAATCGCGGCGGGGTGCAGGGGGGCGTTGAGGCACCTGGCTACCTTTCTGGAAGCTTCTGGAAGCTTGGCCGCCACCCCTTGCAGCCCTAGTGCCTGCTGTTACAACTGCCGTGCAGGTGTGGCTCTGTGTGCCCATGGCTGTGCCCCGTGCCTGCGGCTCTGTGTGGTGTCCCTGCTCGTGGGGTCTCTTGGGTTTTGCCTGCCTTTGTTTCCGCACCCTGCCCCTAATCACAGTACAGGGCTGGAGAGCGGCACAGACTTCTGGGATCCTGTCCTATAGCCCGGAAGTGGGATGCGATGCAAAGATACTGATTTATCTTGCCTAATGCAAGAGGGTGGGAAAACAGGACCCCCCACACACACACACCCCAAGAGCCTTGGGGCCACTATGAGAAAGGTGGGTGAGTCAGTGTCCCACCCTAGACCTGCACTGGGGACCATTCCAAAGAGAAAGGAAGTTTGTGAGAATAGCTGTATTTTGGAGAGAGAACAGAACTTCTCAAACTCCTGAAGGAGGCAGGACCTGTCTGAGCTCAGAGACAGCCAGAGGGAGGAGCCACAGCCTTCCACTCAACAAGAGAAGTCCTCCTCTCCAAGGAGCTCTGCCTGGTCTCTTGAGAGTCCCTTAAGTCCAAATGCCTTGTGTGTGCCACTTAGGATTAGATTCTCAGCTGCAAGTGACAGAAAACTCCATCCCAAATAAAAATGGCGTAACCAAGGGCTCTGTGTAAAGCAAGCCTGGAGATTCAGCCCAGGGTTGGAGTGACTGCTCCCTGATCATCAGGATTCCTGGATCTTCTTCTACCTTCCATTATTCTCTGGTCCAAGGTATCTACTTAATGATCCAAAGTTACTGCTCCATCTCCAGCCATGATGCCCAAATTCCAGGCACCAGGAAGGAGGAGCACACTACCCATAAAGACATATCCTGAAAATGGTAGTCACTGGTCAGAACTGAATCACGTGGGCATTTGTGGCTGCAAAGGAGGCCTGGAAAAGTATCCCTTATTCCAAGCAGTCAACAGCTCAGTTAAATATTGAGCCTTTTGTTACTCTGTCCCCTCTCTGTTGCTAATGACACCATACCACAGACATTTTAAAGAAAATAATTTCATTGTGGCTAATTATTCACATCAAAGGTTGAGGGGCTGCATCTGGTGACAGCCTTCTTGTTGGTAGAGTCCAAATTTTGTTTATTCAATAAATATCTGTGGAACACCTGAGCCAGGTCCTGGGGCACAGTGCTGTGAGGCCATTCCTCTCTGCAGAGAGATTATGTTTTAGTGCAGGTGGGAGGTGTTCAAGGAATAATTACATCATGGCATGTAGAGTACAATGGTGATACACACTGTTGTCATAAGAAGATGCTATTAAAGACCCACCCTCAAAAGACCACTTTCTCTGTTCCAGGGCCTTTCTCTGGATGGAAGGAATTTACTACTTTTGTGTCTGCTCGGTGTAGGGTGGGATCCCTAGGAGCAGCTGTCAGCCACAAAGGGGGAGCAATGGAGGGATAAATACCCAGGGTCCTGGCCCACTGGGTGGGACAGCTCAGAGGCGTGCTCTGCAGTCTCCCACAGGCACCCAGATTCCCACGGCAGTCACTGCTCAATACTGTACGTAGCGTTGTGTGTTCCTTCCTTCCCTGTCTCACTTTCCAACAGCAGGAGACTTGTGCCTCCTGCAGTCACTCCCCAAATAAAAATAAACCACTTGGGCTTCCATCCTCATTGCAGGTCTGCTCCTAGGCATGCTCAGCCGCAGACAGTGGGCTTGCAGTGTATCCAGGGATGGAGGGGCTGTCTCTCCTGTGACATCTGGGGCAGCTGACACTGCCTGTCGTCTGAAGCCCAGCCCTCTCCTTCTGTCAGGCCCCCAGCTCCAGGAGGGCCAGGGTGCTGTATCTCAGCCCTGCACAGCTCTGTCCCTAATGAGTGTCCTTCCTGCTCCTGTCTTAGGATGAAGGCCCTGCTGCCTTCATTGCTGTGTCCTGTGGGCTTTAGAAGTTGGGATGGACATGGAGGAGAATTTGCCTCTCCGGCCCAGAAGCTAAGTAAGCTTCAGAGTAAGTCCAAGTTTGGATCCCTTTTTATAACAACGGAACTGCTCCTCGTCATTCCTCAGCCAGGCTCCCAGGGGGTTAGCTTTCGCAAACCGTTACCTTACCTTGTCCTATGGCCATGCACTGCTCCCCACCCGCCCTCACACAGGAGCAAGTCCTCCAAACTCAGTAGCACCCGAGGAGCTGGGCCCTTTGCAGTCTGCCTCCCACTTCTGTCCTTCCACACAGTCTCCACTGTCTGAAGTGTCCTTATCCACTCGCCCCCAGAGCTCCTACTCATACTTCAAGTACCAGCTTGGACGCCCCCTCTCCAGGACACTTTTCTTCACTCCAGCCCTCACCATCCTCAGGCTGCACTGATGCCCTGGAAGTCTCCCCCAAACATGATTCTCCTCTAAGATCCCCCAACTTTTGGGCCTCCATGGCTCAGTGGAAGGGTCCCTCCCCACTGAGAGGTGTTCCATGACTACCCATTCCTCAGGCCCCCTGTCCCTTCTGCTACTGCCCTGGGGCCCTGTGGACCTGGGAAATGACCAGCCTGCTTTCCTGTAGACATGAGCCCCTTGAGCGGAGCCTCACTTAGACCCCCAGCCCCCAGCATGGTGCTCCAAACACAGCAGGTGCCGACTCGTTTCACATGATCCACGGGAGGTGGAGGAAAGGAGAGGGAATTGCTAGATAGGTGTCTCTCGCTTGCAGCGTTCAGGCTTCTTCCCAAGCTCCATGTCCCTAAGGTCCTCATTTACCCCCAGAGTTTCAGGTCGCATTGGCCTTCTGAGTGACAAGATGAGGAGAGGGCCTGATTACAAAACATTCCTGCCCAGGGGCCTTCGAGTCTGACAGCAGTGGGTGCGAGTCAAGCTCGGCCATTTACTGTGCAGCCTTAATATCACTGAGCCTGTGTGATGATCTCTAAAAAGGCTGTAAGAACAGGGCCGCCCTGATACCAAGCCTTTGGTCGGCGCCAGGCACTGTTCTAGGAGCCAGGCGTGTATCTCCTTTACTTCTCACCAGTGCCCTCAACCTGTCACTGCCAGTAGAGTCTGAAGATCTGCAGAGACTGCAGCTGCCTGGAGTCGGTGCACCCTCCATGCCAGGGCTCAGCAAGGCAGCAGGTGCAGGTGCTGGTGCCCAGGGGTCCTGGTACACTTCCCCCTTCCTGCTGAGTGGTCACTGCCAGGTCTTGGGGGGGCACTGCCAGGCCCAGGGGGCTCCCTGCTATGCAGCGGCCTGCCACGCTCACTGCCCCTGTGGCCCAAACCAGCCGAGTTCACCAGGTGCTGGGTCCTGTCCAGTCCCAAGCAGTCAGCGGGGAGGATTTACTGCCTGTGAGCTACAGTGATTATTGCTCTCTTGGGTGGATGCAGCATGCTTTATTTCCAAAGTGTCTCAGCATCGCTTTCAAATGGAGAGAGAAGCCAGTGGGTTTGCATCCCCTTTACCAGGAAGGACACTGAGTCCCAAAGCATTGGGATTTGCTCGAGGTCACTTAGGGCGGTCGGTGCTGGCAGCGTTTGAGCAAGGAAGAGAAAAAGTGGGGGTAGGAATGGCAGAGCTCCTCCCTTCTCCCCATGGGGCTCTGCTCAGCCATCCAGGGCGCTCTCCTTCTCCCAGGGAGGGGTGAGTGTCAAGCACGGGAGGAGGGAGAGGGAGCCCAGTGGTGGAACAGAAGGCATCCACAGGGAGGATGGGGGGTGCCCCAGAGCTCTGTACAGAACTGGCTGGATGCTCCCCAAATCTGGGCACTCAGCATATTTTAGTTTCCTGGGGCAACCATAACAAAGTCCTTTAGCCCGGGTGATTGAATAGCAGACATTTAATGTCTCAAAGTTCTGGAGCCCAGAAGTCTGAAGTCAAGATGTTGGTGGGTTGGGTCCTTCTGAGAACTGTGAAGGAGAATGCACTGTAGCCTCTCTCTCCTTGCTTCGAGTGGCCTCAGCATTCCCTGGCCTGTGCTTGGGTCCTCCCTATGTCTCACAGTGTCTTTCCTCAGTGTGTGTCTTTCCGGGTTCAAATTCCCCCTTACATAAGAGTGCCAGTCACCTGCAATGGGTGCTCAGTGTAAGATTCTGACTTTAACTCTGTTATCTCAGTAAGGAAAGACCCTATTTCCAAATCAGGTCATATTCTGAGGTACTGGGCAGTAGAACGTCAAGATTTTTTTTGGAGGGACACAATGCCACCCATCAAACACTGAGGGCACATTCCCCAGCTTCCTTGGATACTGAGCGTGGCCCATGGAAGGTGACAAAAAGAGATCCAACCACCTGCAGGCCTGGCCCATGACACCTCCCACACGGCCTCCCCCTTGCCCTCTTCGTCCATCTGCTGTGTGGGACATATGACCAGCAGGGGGCGCCACAGCGCCAGAGGACCCTGGAACCAGGAGCCAAGAGGAGCCTGGGCCCCTGAGGGACTGTGTGGAGTGGAGCTCCCCGCAGACCCAAACTGGGTTGTAGCATGTTAAGCCACCAAGACTTGGGGGCTGTTTGTCACTGAAGTTAGACCACCCTGACCAACACAGCTGGCAGAGGGCCCCAAGTCTATCCGGGAGCAAAGCTAGTTGGTCCAGGCAGGGGGCTTCTGAAGGGCTCCTCTATATAGCTGCCATTAAAAGAATGGGGCTTCTCACCCCAGACCCACTTCCTCCTCCCCTGCTCCCTTCACCTGCCTGTGGAGGGCCTGGGTCTGTGTGGCTGTGGGTCCTGGGCTTGGGAGAAGACTTAGCTGTTCTTATCCATCTGGCCCCTCTCTGTCCCTCACCCCCAGTGATACCTACCCATCCACCTTTCTCTCTGGAGAGAAGGTGGGGAGCTGGGGAGGAGTTGGTTGCCACACTGTCCCTTCTAAGATTCTAAGCTCTTACAGGAAAAGAGAGAAATGGCCCAAATCTCACACATTTTGAAATCAAATGAAAAAGAAGCGTCACACTGTGACCAGCCACCTCAGGCTGCGCAAAATCACCTGTCCTGGCCCTGCATAAAAGGTATTTGATAACCTACATGGTCCCTTCTCCTAAGTAAAACAAACACTGAACAGAAAATCTGAGTGTTTCTGTGCCAACTGTCTCACAGCTGTCATCCAGAGCCTTGGTCCTCTGAATGCGGGGTCTGTGGGTGTTGCACCTGGGACCCAGCTGGAAGTCACTGTGGCTATCTACAGGATCACAGTCCACAAGCTTCCATTCCTGTCCCTGGTCACAGCTCTCGGGCCAGTCTGCCCTATGAGGAGGAAAAATATCAGAGTTGAAGGCTGGCTTAATGCTGGGGAAGCTCAGAGCCGCCTTCTGTTATTCTGGTCAGGCTCGTAGACCTGGCCTCAGGAGGGCCTGTGGCACTGCTTGGCAGGAGCCACTTTGCTTCATTCTTTCTCCCTTCAGGGCCAGCTTTAGTCACTTCCTTCTTTGCTTATTCTGAAAGTCCTCACCCCAGTGTACTAAATGATGCTCTGGTTTCTGGTTCATTTGCCAAACGAGATGACAAACAAAGCAGATGAGCCTACGCAGCACCTAATGGATCAGATGTCCAACCCCTGCCATCCTGGTGCTCTCGGGGTTCAGGAGGAGCTCCTCTGGGGAGTGGCTCACACAATTCATTCCAAGCATGACAGCTTTGCGATGTGAAAATGCAGATACTCTCTGAGAAAACAACAGAAACTGATGACCAGCGCTGAGACCTGAAGATCAAGTCCCAAAGATCTATCTCTTCTCCTGCCCGTCAAGGAGCTTGGTCGACCTTTTCTGGAGGATGTCCCTCAAGGTCAAGGTTCTGGATGGCATGCTTGTACATACGCAGACTGAGGTTGGCCAGTGGACCAGGCTCAAGGTGACTGTTACAACCAAGGAGGGGCCCACTCCCATCTGTAGGGCATCAGCTTGCCACACTCTCCATCGTCCTGGTGAGGCTGAGGGCAGACTACTGGGGAGCAAGATCAGCGAGTTCCAAGTGAGGCCTTGCATGGTGATGAGGCCTAGCAGCTCTGTGTTAAAGCACCTTGCCCCCCTGGTTGTCCTGGTCCCTGCTCTTGTGAAGCTGTAGCTGCTGGCATCTCTTGATGACTGCTATCCCTCTGCCAGCTTTGCTATGGCCACCTTTGATGGTACAGCTCTGATACCTGGAAAGAGAGTGCTCCCCGAGTCTCCCCGTCAGCAATACATTGATCTGCACCAGAGAATCCAAGGGTGGCCACCATACGGGACCTCTGCACAAAACAAGTCAATGAAGTAAACCACAAAACAAACCAACAAACCAACAAAAATGCACAGGCACACGGAACAGGAAGTTACTCAGGTGCAGGTTTCCTTGTAGGCTCCTAGTGGCCTGTGGTTTAACAGCAAGGCCCTTAGTCAGGGTGCTGGTGAACTGAGCTCTCACCCTGATTCTTCAACGCTTCTCCTTTGTCCCCAAGGCAGATCCCTTTAGCTTTCTGAGTCTGTTCTCAGCTGTGTAATAATTCCTGCGATCACCTCCCTGCAGAATTCTTATGACAATCAAACTGGATGATGCATGTGAAAGAGCTTCAGAAGCTGCCAGAGGCCAGGGCAACAGTCATGGCCACACCCACAATGTCCTCGAGGCGGCTCTGCCGTCACACTTTTGCAGCCTTTCGGCTCAGCTGTCCCGCTCCTGTCTTCTGTGCTGCAGCCAAACGGAAATCTGTCAGAGTCTGAACGTGGCCTGCCTTTGTTCCAGCTGTGCCTCCTCCTGGGGTGCTCTTTCCTCTTATTAAACTCCATCCATCCTTCCTGACTCAGCCTAAATGCTACTTTCTCCAAACACCTTCCCCAATCCTCCCAAACAAAAGTCAAGTTTCCCCACTCCTGTCCCAGACCACCTACACTCTAAGGCAGCTACCTCTCTCTGGCTCACATGGCTACGTGTGTGCAGAGCTGATGGTCCCAGGATCCCATGTGCCCGAGGGCAGGCTCCGAGCCTCAGCCACTTTTGCATCTGCACACAGGGTCAGTGCAGAGCTGCCAGTGTGCTCGAGGCACACGATACCATCACATTCAGTTGCAGTGAATTGGAGCGGACCACACGAGGTGATCGATGGCATCGGAGCCTGGAGGCAGAAGATGAGTGGCCAGGCTCCAGGGATCAGGCCTATAAACATCTCCTGACAGAAAAGCCCAACTTCAAAGCCTAGACATTTTAGATTATATTTGCATTGGAGGCTTTTAAAGTAGCAAAACTTTAGATTTATGTCTTCATGAACAGATGTGGAAGGGAAAAATCAATTCCTTATAGGATTGGCTTATTTGTTTTTTATCTCAGTGCTAAATATTATGCACCAAGTGACAAATTAATACATAAATTGACCTAGAGACATCAACATCACGGGAGGGATGATGAGAATGGAAGAGTGGCCTGAGCTGGAGGCCAGCGGGGCCGACGCATGCACACTGCCTGTCAGTCAAATCGGCTTGCCCGAAAGATGCTGTAGGTACAGACGGCTCCAATGGAGTGTGAAAAGAGGCCAGATTTTTCCCCAAAGAGGGCAACTCCTCACACACTCTGTTGAGGGGACATGTGTTACACAAGATGGGGCCGCAGCAGGGCTGCTGGAGGATGTCATTTGAAGGACCTGGCAGCACCCAATTCCTTCTGGGGACCCCATCCCCGGAGCGCATCTTCCCCTCCAGGATGAGAGGAGACAGTGGAGTAACATCCCAGACCCTGAGAGAGGTGCCCTGTGGGGCTGGTCGGGGCCACTCGCTCTCCCCTGGCAGGGCCAGGCCCAGAGCCCAGGGCAGAGAGGGCAGGTGAAACAGGAGGCAAGAGGGAACCCAGCAGGAAGATCCACCAGCTGGGTCCCTGGCCAGCTGCCCCATGGCTCAGGTTTCCCCAGACACAAGAAGGGCCTGGGGAGTCCTGGGAGCTGAGACCCACCGGAGAATGCCCCAGCTAGTTGCTGGCAGCCGAGACTGGTGCAGGCTTTCTGAGAAAGCAGAGCACGCCTATTCTCGAAAGAAAAATTCCGTAAAAGTGGAAAAAACTAAAAGTGACTCCTTTCCCCCGGAGAGGGGATGACACATAACAGACAGAGCCGAACAGCTAGCTTCCAGCCCTGGAGAGAGAGGGAGAGAGAAAGAGAGGGAAGG